TGTGGAGCCCAAGTGCATGGGGAGGGTTGCAAAAGTGGCCACCAGCTTGCGCCTGGCCAGTGCAGAACTATCAGTGTGAGTGATGCATGGGTGCGTTGTGCGTGATGGAGGACGGCTGGGACCAGTTGGGGCGGGGGGAAGGCGAAGTTGTTTTCGGGTGTCCACGCGATAGAGAACGCATCAACTGCGATAGCTTCTGGGTGGGGAATCTTTGTGCAGAAGCGCGGCAGTTGGGTGTTGCGGGAGTTTGCGAAGAGGTCGATGGAGTGGGGCCCCCAACGACGTTCCAAGATGCGGAACCACGGCGTTTTCAGCGCGTAATCGTCGTGGTCGACCATTTTTGAAAGTTCGTCGGCGTGTGTATTGAGCTCGCGCGGAATCCATTCGATGATCAAGCGCGTGCCAAGCTCCATGCATGTTCGGATGATGCTCTTGCATGCCGTTGCGAGGTCGGGGCTGTGAGAGCCGCCTTTTCGAAGGATGAAGAACACGCCCTGGTTGTCCACCCGCACGAGAACGTGTTTTTGCTTGATGTTGGTCGCGTATGTTTGGAGCGCCCAAAGGACGCCTTCGATCTCGCGTCGCGTGCTGGATGTTCCTTGTAGCGGCTCTGACATGGTTGCGCTAGCTTCTTCGAGGCCGCCCGGAAATGTGGTCAGAGTGGCGCCCCAACCATGAGAGCTGGCATCCACATGGATTACTGCGTCGTAGCTGTTCCTGACGTGAAAAGGTGCGCCATTGAAACGGTCAAATTCCTCGAGCCAAAATTGGAGCTCCTCTGCTGCAGATGGGGGGATAACCACGCTGCTTTTCCATGACGGTGCTTCGTTGATCACTTGTAACATAGCGTGGCTGAATGCGCGAGCGGTCGCGCCAAGTGCGACACCCATCGATGCAAGCATGCCAGTGATTCTGGCCACGTGGCGGACCGGGACTGGTCGGCATGCCCTGCTTGCGCTCAGGAGGTTCCGGATGGTTGCATGTAGTGAGGCTCGTCGGTCGGGACCGATGGAGAATCGACCGGTGTCGGTCTCCAGTTCTACGCCCAGGAATCGTAGATGTTGCGATGGTGACAGTTGTGATTTCTTCGCGTTTATCACAAGGCCTGCCTCTTTGAGGTCCAATATCACCTGCTGGCAGATTGCTTGCGCATCGGCTTTCGACTGGCAGAGGAATAAGATGTCATCCACGTAAGGTACGACTCGGATGCCTTGTTCTCGCCAACGCCGAGCTAGTTGCTTGATGAGCTGTGTAAAGACGAATGGAGCCGTCGCGAGGCCGAATGGTAGTGAACGAAATGCGTATGTGCGCCTATCGAATTCGAAGCCAAGGAACTTCCAGCACGATGGGTGGATGTCGATGTGATGGTAACCGGATTTGAGGTCAATGGAGAACATCCAGTCCCCAACGCGCGCCAGGTCGGCGACACGGCTGAGCCCCTCGTACTTGAACTTGGGGACAATCAAGTTAGCGTTGACCTTTCTCAGATCAAGAATGAGCCTGCATTTGTCTTTTTGCTCGACCACGTTAAGTGGACTTATGCACTTGAGCTCCGTTGCGGCCATCGGAACTGCCGCTCCCGTCTCTATGAGTTCTTGGATGGCGGTACGTGTGAACGTAGCATGCGTGTTTGCCCCGACATGATTGCGATCGTGGAAAGGTTGTGGTGGGCCGTGGCTCCATGGCAACCAGTAACCCTTGGCGATGACGGAGAGAACGAGCCTGCTGGGGCACCATGAGATCCACCACGCAAAGGTCGCGCGAAGACGACCGCGCATCTGTGTAATAGTTCTGTCTGTAACGACAAATTCGTACGGGTCATCGTAGCATGCCGCCTCGCACCGTCGTGCTCCTGTGCATGGGAGGCCAAGTGGTATACGGGTTGAGTATTCCATGTTAAAGCATGTGTGTGCATGTACATGTACGGGCAACCATTGATCAAATGTGTGAAGAAAATAACAACCGACGGAAATGTCAACGAATGTGTCGGGCGCGAAACGACGCTTCTTCTTCTCCTCGTTTCCTCCTTTTTTTTTTTTTTTTTTTTTTGCCCAGCGTGCACTCGATAGGATGTGGTTGTGCCTGCCCTTAGTGCATGGGAGATGATGCCTATGGCCATGGACACACTTGTCCATTGTGTTTCTCTTATTCTCTCTTGTTCTCTCTTTCTCTTTCTCTCTTTTTCTCTCCCACTCTCTCTCTCTCTCTCTCTCTCTCTCTCTCTCTCTCTCAAGCGGTCCTTCATTGATAAGATCAGAAAGGTACAAGCATGGCATGAGTAGAGACTAGGCCATTGTCTACCCTAGTTATGCCTGCATTCATGGCCCTGCAAGATATAGGTGTATGTGAGTGCTTCCTGCAACAAACCAGGCCTGGTGCCCTCAAGTCGCTCCATCTCCTGTTCCCTGTTCACCTAGCAGCCTGAACCCTTGTCCTCCCTGTTCAGCTGCCCTCCTGACCAGCCCGTGCTGCCCTACTCCCCCAGTACCCCCTCCATCTCATCCTCTAGCACCTGCCAGAGGTCTCCCAAGCTGGGCTCCCATGGATCCGTGGGTCCCTGAGGGAAGGCCGCCTCAGCAGCTCGGTTTGACTTGGAAAGGAAGGACACCGCCTGGCTACGCTGGAGCATTATGGACCACCGCTGTCTGTAGTGAGCTGTGAGCCGCGCAGCTGTGGTAGTGAGTTTGCCTTGGCGATATTTCTTCTTTGCTGCCGAATTTGCTAGTAGCCGCAAAAACTGCACCGTATCTGCTGCCAGGGCCCCGTATGTCTCCACCGCCAACCCAAAAAATCCCACACAGTCTGGGAGACCCTCGTAGAGCCTATGCTTGCTCTCGGAGGCTTCCTTGGCCGCCCACCCTGGCGGCTTCCGTGCTCTGGTGTCGCGCCTCTGTAGGACTGGGTCGGTCACGGTCACGTCCGTGACAAAGGTTTCACCCGATTCCTGGTCCTGGATTGCTAAATCCGCCCTCTTACGTAGCACGGGGGGGGAGAAGGTGGTGGTTTCGTTGAAGGTCGAGAAACCTGCCTCCCTCGCCATCCGGAGTGCTGCATACACCAGTGCATCATGTGTCCTAACCACGTCTCCTCCATCAGCACATCTAAGTAGGTGATTCGGGAGCGAGGTGTCGCTGATGTCCGAGTTTTTCCGCTTGCAAGGGCACTTTACTGTAACCGGCAGCTGCATGCCTAGACGGAAGCCCAACGCCATCGAGAGCTGACCAGGGGATAATGTAAGGTCAGCCCTCGTTGGCACCACGTGTAGCCAATCTCCTGCCCCTATTCCCTGCAGGCCGATGAGTCTCACTAGCGTGCCCGTTGTCTTTCCCCGGCCTATCCATCATTGTGTCTGCCACGAGCTCCCTTGCCTTAGTCTCCCAGATGTGCCTGGATAGGAGCAACTGCAGGTTGCCTGCACCTGGTGGGCGTTCTCTAAAGGCATGCAGGGCTGCTCGTGCACTTGCAGGGAGCTCCTCCTCCAGTGCCGTGAGCTGGTTGCTTTTGGGGGGCTCCGGGTTCCAAGTGTGAGAGAGCAGTGTTGTTGCCCGGCTGAGTAGGTGCTCTTTCTCAATGTTCATCTGCTGCAGCAGTTGTTGCGCCGCTGTAATTGATGCAATGTGTGCTGCCGGTGCCTCCGAGGTTGGGTCCACAATGCCCAGCCCCCCGAGCCGTATTGGGAGTGTTGCCTGTCGCCAGAGCAAACTCTGTTCGAGCTCACACCTCGGTATCCGTAGTTTTGCCGAGGTGAGCGCCGCTTCCAGCAAGGTTTCGCTCCATCCCCTCCAGCTCTCTCTCGGCAGTGCTTGTGATGGTGTGGTGCGTAGCAGGTAGGACACCCTCCTGCTGATGCTTCGCGAGATGATGAGCAGGGCGTGTTGAGGGTGCATCTGGGCGACTAAGGGGAGTGGTGCGGAGGCATCAGCGAGCTTCGCGACAATCTGATTTGTGCAGAATTCCTCTGTGCCGATGGGGCTGCCCAGCACCAGGATGCCTTCTCTGCTCATCTCTAACCCCTCTGGAGGCGTTCCATCCTGGGCTTCTATCCCGTTGGGTGTCCATGCTGAGGATTTCCCAATGTTGCACTTCAGCCCGCATGATGCTAGACCGCGGGTGATGGAGTCGAACGCTAAAAACGCCGCCTCCTGTGGGCCTACGATCGTGATATCATCTGCGTAGGCCACAACCGCCACCTCTGGGAGGAGCGTGGCCGTCGTGAGTAGGGTAGGTTGGATGGCCGCGGCAAAGAGTAGTGGGCCCAATGGGTCTCCTTGTCGCACCCCCCTGGTGCTCGCTATGTGATCTGTGTTGAAGCGTGTGTCGACGAGCAGGCGGGAGGGTCCGTCATAGAGCGTGCGGACGAGGGGTATGAGCGGCTGCAGGTTGGACCGGGAGAGCGCAGTGAAGAAGGCAGAACGTTCTACGCTATTGAAGGCATTCTCGATATCTAGCTGCAGCGCGATGCACTTGCTATCGTCCCGCATGAGCGATCTGACGGTGTGTATGACACATTCGGCTCCACTCCGTATTGCACAGGTAGGAAAAACTCTCTTATGTTCGGTGCTAATTCGCGTAGTGCCGCTTTCGCCACTATTCTGAGTATGGTCTCGCCAATGGCTATAGGTCGTACCCCGCCCCCTGGCTTTTCTAGGGCGATGAGGCGTGAAGGGAGTAGCATGTCGCGGACCTCCTGGGTCTGGAGTGTTCCAAGCAGGTGGTTAGCTAAGCGCGTGAGTAGTATGAGAGCCTCCTCATTTGTGTGGGCGGGATCCTTCAGGTGTTCGAAGCAGGTGCCTGATGGGCCTGCTCCCACTCCTTTCGGGCATTTCGCCAGCAGATCGCGGAGGTCGTCATGGCTAATGCTGAGTGAGGCAGTGGCATACCCTGTAACCAACGCAGGTGTTGGCGTTACTGCGGTTGGGTGTTTCGCTCGTAGCGCTGCGAGGGTCTCTGGCGATGTGTCCGCCAGTGGTGTTACGCGTAACGCTGCAACCGCTTTCGAAATGTTCCCTTTTTTGACGAGCCCTTCTGCTCTAGCACACAGGCCCACATCGTCAGGCTGGTGTTGTAACGGTTCTCCTGTGTAGGGGATGACACAGGCCTCAGTGTAGAGCGCGTCCCACCTGCCGAGCCTGAATTGGTGTAGCCTGCGCTCGATTTCCGCCCACCGAGTCCCTTCCACTGGCTCCGGCAAAGGTCGCAGGGTTAGCCTCGGCAGGAACAGCAACAGTTTCCAACCTCCTGGACAGTCGGGATATTCCGTCGCTCTCAGGAGCGGGGTCAGTAGACATTGGGTGTAGCCCTCCAATAGCTTAGGTGGCAGCCGTCGGACAAGGAAGGGCTGATTGCTCTGCTGGAGCTTTGTCGTGTCCCATGATGCCACCTGTTGCCATAGTCCAGTGTCCCTCGCCAGGTCAGATGGTTGACGTATGCTTGGCTCCGGCTGTGGTGCTGGTCCCGCGCCATCTACCGGTTCCTCATTGTTGCCTCTCCCGCCATCTCCAAACCTTGCCCTACCCCGTGTGGCAATTCTTTCTTCACTCTCCCCCCCGGACTGTGAGAGTTCCTCCGAAACGTGCTCATTGTCAGGATTAAATTCACTCCCACTGTCGTTGTCGTCAGTGCTTTCCTCCTCATTCGCCACCTTGTGCTCAATCTCCGGACGGTTGTGTCGCTCCTGCCACGTCCCGGATCTAACCAGTGCTGGCTCTCCGCCCACGACTAGCCCTCTCCCCCCTCTTCCTCCTCGTCCCCCGCCTTGGTCTCCGCGTGCTCTTCCCCTGCCAGCGCCGTTGTTCCCTCCTTGCCCTCCGCGGGTTGCGCTCCCTCGTCCCGCCGGCATCCACGGCGCTTGCCTCACGGTCGATCGTCCGCCTTTCGGCGGTCCCCAGGCGATTCTGCCTCCTCTCGCGCGGCTTCGAGTCGCCCTGCCTTCCGTTTCTGGCTGGGCGTCGTTCCCGGCTGCTGTTACTCCTACCTGTGGTTGTGGTCGAGTCGCTGTCCGTTCGGTTTGCGGTTCGCCTCCGCCTCCACCCCTTGCGGTCTCCCTGCTGCTCGTACCCCTCGATGGCTGACGGTGCCCTTGGACTTGTGGCGTCTGCTCTTGCAGATGCCATCCCCGGAGGGGCCCCGGGGGACCCGGTGCCAGGCCTGCTCCGAGCCTTCGCGGTGCTGGCTGGACGCGGATCCTCTTCCCAGTCGTCTCGCGGCCGGCGTGGCGGGCCTCCTCGGCATGGTCGCCGTGGTGGCTCGCACCAGCCGGTGTATCGCTCCCCTCCTGGGCGGACTCATGCGTTTCTGCGACCGCGTCAGCAACAGTCCTTCCGTCGTACTCGCCGACAGTCGGGCCTTCCTCCGCCTCTCCCGCGTTCTCCGCGATCGTTGGTGCCAGGGTCCTCTCCTCCGCCGTCCCATCTTCTTCCGCAGGCTCAGTCGCCGCCGTCGCAACCCTCGTCGTCGCCGCTCCCGCCACAGTCCTCATCTGTTCTGCAGGCAGCTCCTCCGCCTTCTTTTTCCCCGTTGCCGTCAGCTCCCTCTGCCTCTGAGGTTGTTCTGCCCGCTCCAACAGCACCGCCTGCTCTCCCCCCGCGCGCGCTCCCACAGTTGTTTCTTGGGGGGTGTGAGATCCCAAGACCATGTGAGGTGTTGTCGACTCCCCAGCCGGCTGCCGCACCCGTAGCCTCTGCTGCCGCTCCCGATGAGCCCTGTAGTCGGTGGGAGGAGTGTCCTCCTGTAGAGCGGCTTCGTCGCGTCGAGCAGCGCGTTGCGACCGTGGGGACTGTCCTGGAGCTGCTAGCGTTGGTGCTTGATCAGCTGCATTCAGGGCTGTTACGTGGGCGTGTTGTCCTGCCCACCTTTGTCGAAGAGGCAGCGGGCCGTTGTGGTGACGGCGGCGCGGCGGATGATGGGGAGCCTCCCGCAGATGGGCCTCGAGACAGGCTCCCCGGGGCTGGGTTCTGGTCCCGGGCCTTCCGCTGTGAGGCGGTTGGCCTCTTCAGTCCGTCGTGCCCCCCTCGACCTTGTGCCAGCCGCCTCGGCGCTGTTGCGCTGGTTGGACGGGCGGCTGGCTTTGATCCTCGCCGATTAGGTTCTGCTTTCCCCTTCCCGGCCTTGCTTGTCCTGGGCTTGGCCTTTCCCATGTGTGTTGTGGTTACGCCAGGGGGTTTTGTGGTGGGTTCTTGTGCCGGTGTTGCATATTAAGCGTTGTGAACCCTGTTGTTATAGAGCTTGGTCCCCTACCCCTTGCCATCGCTAACGCGCGGCCGAAGGCCGCGCTGTCGAGCGCCGGCCGCCTTCGGCGGCCGGCGCGAGCCGCTGGGTTGGGGAGATGACTTGCCAGTAACTAATGAGGATAAAAAATGCAGATTGTGGGCTTAAGAAAGGAACTGTACTCACTATAGGCTGTGGGGCTGGGCTACACTTAGAGAGGGAGTGGCCTAGCTGCTCCTACCACTAGGCTACCCATAGGAGAAAAGAGGGGTGCTGCTGAAATCTAAGGGCTGGTTCCCTTGTCTCTCTCTCTCTCTCTCTCTCTCTCTCTCTCTCTCTCTCTCTCTCTCTCTCTCTCTCTCTCTGTCTCTCTCTCTCTCTCTCTCTCTCTCTCTCTCTCTCTCTCTCTCTCGCTCTCTCCCTCTCCCTCTCTCTTTCAAGCCCTCTCTTACTCGTAGTTCATGGGGGCTGGTGCGTAGAATCCTGGACATGCGTGCCCACCATGTTGTATCTCGTTCTTTCTCTTTCTCTCTTACTTTCTCCCCCTCTCTCTCTCTCTCGCTCTCTCTCGCACACACACTCTCTCTCTCTCTCTCTCTCTCTCTCTCTCTCTCTCTCTCTCTGATCCTCCTCTTGATTGTTTCAGAGTCTCTTTGCCAAAACAGTAGGCCTTTAAGAAGGTAGTTTTTTTTTTTTTTTTTTTTTTTTTTTTTTTTTTTTTTTTAATCAAATCAACCAACACACATAGCAATGCTCTCCTAGCATGCATCATGCTACCGAGCGGTGAACCACATGGGACCGAGGGGGTTGTTGCTCCCCTTCCCTATCCTAGGCCCAAAGCCTATTCCTACCCTTCACTAGGGCTGGCCGCTTGCCATCGCAAACCCCTAGGGTTGCCCACGGTTTTCGCACTCAAAAGTGCACCGTGCCTAGCGCTCAAGCGCCTATTCCCATGGCCCGCTCCTACACCACCGGAGCGGGTCCTTGGCCGCCGTGCCCGTTCCTAGGGCAGGCACTTGCCACGTGGCCCGGCTGGCCGCAGCGGAAGCACGAGCCCCGAAACCCGCGGCAATTGGCCGTGGGCGGGGGGCCCCGCTTGGGTAAAAACGGCAACGGCGCGTTGTTTCCGCCGCGGTTGGCACGAGCATATCCGCTTGCCGCACGGTCCATTGCCGCCATGTCTGCGACCGCCTGCTTGAAGGGTCGAGAAGTCAGCAGGCTCTTCTGCTGGTACAGCTTGAAGCGCTTCGCCGTGCGGAAGTCGGATGCGTCCTCCACTTGAAGCACCTCGAAACGCCCCGAGATGAGGTTGAGAGCGTGCGAGATGAGTTCGAGCCCGCCCGCTGGGTCTCCGCGCTGCGCCTTGTATTCCGCGTGCAGCAGGTACGCGCGCAAGTCCTCCAGCAGCTCCGCTTGCTCTCGCACGGAGTCGTTGACGAATGTTGCCGCCGAAAAGGTGAGGTTAGAAGAAGGGAGGGGGGGAAGGTGTTCCGTGCCATTAAATTAACATTGTTGACTGGAGCCTCACCGGCTTCATCTTCAGAGTCGTCGGTGTCGTTGTCGACCGCTGGAGCGGGGGGTGCTGCTGCTGCTGCGTCGTTGTCGTGCCGAATGGTCCTTGCTCCTCTCGCGCCTTTTTCCTTTTTTGCATTTTCTTTTTTAGCCGACGCAGATGCAGCGGGTAGTGCAGTTTCCGCGGCTGTAACGCTGACGGGCTGCTGCTGTAGAAGGGACAGCAGCGCGTTGACCTGGTCCGGGGTCAACGCCTGCGTCAACGCAGGGGCGGTCGTCGCGTCAGACGAGGAGACCGCCGTCCGCCTCCTCTGGCGCTGACGCGACGGTCCAGCCGCGGGTGCTGGCATGTGCTCGGCGTCAGTGGCGTGTGCCACGCCCGCGGCCGTCGCCACTTGCGCCGCAGGTGCCACTGGCGCCACAGGCACCTCAGGCGCCACTGGCGCCACTGGCGCCGAAGGGTGCTGCTGGGCGTTGGCCGAGTTGTTGACCTCGAGCCCGCCCAGCAGCACGTCCACTGCAGTCGGGGCGGGCGGTCCATCTTCTGCCCGTCGCTTGTTACGGCGTTCGCCCGCCAAATCGCGGGTGTTACGGTCGTTGTCGGAGGCGGGGTTGGACGAGTTCCCGTTGTTAAGTGTCGGCGTCGGTGCCATCGTTGAGCGATTGAAGTTAAAAATATCGTTGAGTAAGGTCGAAGGTGACTCGCCTCTAGGAAGCGATTTTGTTCTAGCCAGCTTGGACGGAGGGATAAACTACGTGAGCAGAAGTGTTGAGTGAGCCGTTTGAAAATCGAGAAACGTGGGTGGAGGGAAATGAACTCCAACCCACGGTTTTTGTAGTTGGAGAAGGGCGTTTAGCGCGCTTCGACGATGCCAATTGTGCAGTACAAGCAGCTTCGCTTTCACAATACACAATTTTAAAAAACACAATGTGTGTTTAAAAATTATAATGTTTCCAAGGAGAGATTGGTGGAGTTAGGAAGCTGAAGCAGGGTGTTGCATTCCATTGATACTACACTCGATGCTCAGCCTATCACAAAACATTTGCTCCGCACAAATAGAAAATTAGTCACTCGTGAGTGACTAAATTGACCATTGTGCCGATTTCGGGGTACAGTCGCCAAGTTGAGGAAGAAAAACATCTACAGTTATTAAACAACGGTTGCCCTTGACTCGATTCACAATGCAATTTCATATTACAGTAACATTTTTGCCCGTGGCGACAACGGTGAATGTGGCGAAATGCCTGAAACATGTTTCACGCACATGCCTGCCCGCCTACCTGGTGTTCTTGAAATGAGCACCGACTGTTATTTCTTCAGCTTCCATCCCCAGCTGCCCGAACGAGTCGGGCAGAGTAACGAGTTTGCAACGGGACAGCTTCAACGAAACTAGGTCTGAAAGCTGCCCGATGTCTCCGGGCAGCTCGTGGAGGTAGCAGCCATCAAGACCGATTGCTGTGAGTGACTCCATATCGGAGATAGACTCTGCGAAAGCCGAAAGCTCACAACAGTCAATCACATTCAGCAGTCAATTGCGGACCGCGCGGGTCAAGTTTTAAAAACTTGACGAAGTTGGCTGTGCAAGCTTTGAAAAGTACCGCAGCTGCAATTTGGGACTTTCGAAGTATCGAAAAAACGGGGAGCGCGGTGCGAAGGTATTCCATAGGATTGAGCAAAATGTGAAACACGTCGCGTCGCGCAATTATTTCCGAAGACCTTCTAAGAACGCGAGAGTGAGGCTCTTCAGGTTTCGCAGCTACCCGAAATCCTTGAGCACGTGGGCCAAAGGGGATCTTGAAGCTCCAAATGCTCCACGTGTCAAACATTATATATGTTATGCTTGTAGGCTACAGTGGGTTAGCCTATAGGGGGTACACAATTCTAGGGTTTACTACTTGTACTCATTTCACTTCTAGTTCACACATTCCTGTTCGCTTATTCTCACATGGTATAGAGCGGGTCCTTCTACGGACCGTTTTTTTTTTGGGCCCAACGAAGCGCCCCCCGAGGCGCGATCTTTTTTAGCGACCCCTCGGGTCGCCATTTCCCCTGCGGCCCCGCCGCCTTCACTGACGCGGCCCCGCCGCCGGCCCTTACGCGGCCCCGTCGCCGGCTCTCACGCGGCCCCGCAGCAGGCTCTGTCGCGGCCCCGCCCCGGCCTTTACGCGGCCCCGCCGCCTGCTCTCACGCGGCCCCGCCCCGGCTCCTTCGCGGCCCCGCCGCCTGCTCTCGCGCGGCCCCGCCCCGGCTTCTACGCGGCCCCGCCCCGGCTTTCACGCGGCCCCGCCGACGGCTTTGTCGCGGCCCCGCCCAGGCCCTTACGCGGCCCCGCCGCCTGCTCTCACGCGGCCCCGCCCCGGCTCCTTCGCGGCCCCGCCGCCTGCTCTCGCGCGGCCCCGCCCCGGCTTCTACGCGGCCCCGCCCCGGCTTTCACGCGGCCCCGCCGACGGCTTTGTCGCGGCCCCGCCCAGGCCCTTACGCGGCCCCGCCGCCTGCTCTCACGCGGCCCCGCCCCGGCTCCTTCGCGGCCCCGCCGCCTGCTCTCGCGCGGCCCCGCCCCGGCTTCTACGCGGCCCCGCCCCGGCTTTCACGCGGCCCCGCCGACGGCTTTGTCGCGGCCCCGCCCAGGCCCTTACGCGGCCCCGCCGCCTGCTCTCACGCGGCCCCGCCCCGGCTCCTTCGCGGCCCCGCCGCCTGCTCTCGCGCGGCCCCACCCCGGCTTCTACGCGGCCCCGCCCCGGCTTTCACGCGGCCCCGCCGACAGCTCTGTCGCGGCCCCGCCCAGGCCCTTACGCGGCCCCGCCGCCTGCCCCCGTCGCGGCCCGGTCACCTCCTGACGGCCCCGCCGTCCCTTCGTGACGGCCCCGCCGTCCCTTCCTGACGGCCCCGCCGTCCCCTCCTGACGCCTCCTGCCGTCCCCTTCTACCGGCCCCGCAACTGCACTTGCTGGCCCCGCCGCTGCACCTACCGGCCCCCCACCACCCACCCCCCCTTTTCCCGTCGCCTGTCGAGGCGACCTGAGGGGGCCGCTTGCGGCAAGCGGCCCCCTCAGGTCGCCTCGACAGGCGACGGGAGAGGCCAGCAGAGGGGTGGCAGGTGTGTGGCCTCCCCTGCTTCTCCTCCTCCTTCATCTCCCACTGCAGCAGCCGAGCCGCTCACCTGCAGCAGCCGAGCCGCCCCACCGCCGAGCCGCCCTGCACCCGAGCCGCCCAGCAGCCGAGCCGCCCTGCCGCCGAGCCACCGGGTCGCTAAGCTGCTGAGCTGCAGTTGCTGCCGAGCCGCCCTGCCGCCGAGCCGCCGAGTCATCGAGCTGCTGAGCTGCAGTTGCTGCCGAGCCGCCTTGCCGCTGAGCCGCCCGAGTCGCCCGAGCCGCCGAGCCGCCGAGCTGCCGAGCCGCTGAGTCGCCGAGCCTACTCTTCCCACCACTGGTGAGCTCTTGCCCTGCTAGCACGCTGCGCGTCGCCTGCTTGCCTGCCTGCCTGCCTTTTGGCTTGCCTGGCTGCCTGCCTCCCTGCTGCTAGTCCTGCTCCTGCTTCTACTTGCGGAGCCAAATGCAGCCCCAGCGACGCCGGCGTGAGTCCCTCACGCCCCAGCAGCTGCGTGAGTGGTACGCTGGTTGGGGCTGTAGGGGTGGCGACGCTACTCCTACTACCACTCCTGCTGCTTCTACTCGTGGTGGCGGCCAGATGCAGCTCCCGCGACCCTCTCGCGTGTCTCTCACGCCTCGCCAGCTTCGTGAGTGGTACGCTCAGAGTGGAGGGTCTCTCAGTGCGGTTCGCTGCTCTTACGTGATTCGCACTGGTACTCGGACTGGTCAGCCTTGTGGGACACGTAGTCATACACCGTCCCGCTGCTTCGCCCGTCTGAGCGACGCCTGGCGTACCGTGTTTGGCGACGAGGCTGAGCTTCCCGACTGGGTGGAGTTGCTTAGGCAGAGGGTAGATATATATGCTCTTGACTATGATGCTATTCTCACTGCCATGTATGCATTGCCTACTAGTGCTGACCGTGCCGGTCACCTGTGCGTCCCGCCTGACCCAGGTATAGGACCTGCTGCTCTAGCTACTGGTGAGGCTGCTGCTCTGGGTGCTAGTGAGTCTCCTGCTCCAGGTACAGGTGCGGCTGCTGCTCTAGGTGCTAGTGAGTCTGCTTCCTCAGGTGCGGGTGAGGCTGCGCTCTCAGGTACCGCGTTGGCTTCGGCCTCCCTCACCTTTACACTTGACTCTGGGGCTTCTCGCTCCTTCTTTCGGGACCGCACCACACTCACGCCGCTTGGTCGGCCGGTTGCAGTCTCCCTGGCTGACCCCTCTGGGGGTCCTGTCCTCGCTCACTTCTCCACTGTCCTCCCGTGTCCGGCTGCCCCCTCGGGCACCCTCTCTGGCCTGTACCTCCCCTCGTTCTCGACGAACTTGGTGAGTGGTGCAGACCTACAGGATGCGGGGGTTCACCAGTTCACTCCTGCGAGTCAGCGGGTGACCCACTGCACGGACGCACGCACAGGCCGGCACCTGGCCACGTTCTCGCGTCGGCCGGGGTCGAGCCTCTACACCCTGACCACTGAGTCTCCTCCTGTCCCCGCGTCCGGTCAGGTAGCAGCGTCGGGTCAGGTGTTTGCTGCTGCGTCCAGGTCTGGTCCTGAGTCTGCCCCCTGTTCGTGTCGCCTCCTGTCTCACGAGACTCTTCTGTGGCACCACCGTCTAGGCCACCCCTCCTTGCCCCGTCTTCGGGGCATGGCTTCCTGTGTCCTTATCTCTGGTCTTCCCCAGTCTCTCCCTCCCCTTCCTTCGGGACCAGGACCTTCCTGTGTCCCCTGTGTCGAGGGGCGCCTCAGGGCTGCCCCTCACTCCTCCCAGTTTCCCCCGACAGAGGCTCCTCTGCAGACGCTTCACATGGACGTGTGGGGCCCGGCCCCCGTCCGTGGGCAGGGTCACGAGCGCTACTTCCTGTTGGTGGTTGACGACTACTCGCGCTACACCTCAGTCTTCCCCTTGCGCAGCAAGGGTGCTGTCACTGAGGTGCTGATCGACTGGATCCGCGAGGCTCGTCTCCAGCTCAGGAGGAGCTTCGGCTCGGACTTTCCTGTTCTGCATCTGCACTCTGACCGAGGTGGGGAGTTCTCCTCTCGCCTTCTGCGAGACTACTGTCGTGCACAGGGGATCCGCCAGACCTTTACGCTTCCGGACTCTCCACAGCAAAATGGGATTGCTGAGCGCCGCATTGGCATGGTCATGGATGTCGCTCGTACGTCCATGATGCATGCGGCTGCCCCCCATTTTCTGTGGCCGTTTGCGGTTCGGTACGCGGTGCATCAGCTCAACCTTCACCCCAGGGTCTCTCGGCCCGCGATGTCCCCAGTGTTACTGTGGACGGGGAAGGTCGGCGATGCGTCTGCGTTCCGTGTCTGGGGATCTCGGGCGTTTGTCCGCGACTTGTCTGCGGACAAGCTGTCCCCCCGTGCTGCTCCCTGTGTCTTCCTTGGCTTCCCCCCTGACGCTCCAGGGTGGCAGTTCTACCACCCCTCCTCTCGTCGTGTTCTGTCCTCCCAGGACGTCACGTTCGACGAGTCAGTCCCCTTCTACCGCCTCTTCCCCTATCGTACTCCTTCCCTTCCCCCCCCACCGGACTTCCTGGTACCAGTTCCCCCCCCGGTAGACCCCCTCCCCCCTCAGGTTCGTGCCCCTTCAGGTGTGTCCCAGGTAGACACGGTCGAGCCAGTCGAGGTTGCTGCTGAGTCTGGTCCTGCTGCGGGTGCTGAGCCTGGGGGTGCTGCTGCTGGGGGTGCTGAGCCTGGGGGTGCTGAGCCTGGGGATGCGAGGCCGGGGGGTGCTGATTCTTGGGGTGCTGAGCCGGGGGGTGCTGAGCCGGAGGGTGCTACGTCAGGAGCTGCTGAGCCTAGGGGTGCTGGGCCTGGAGGTGCGGAGCCTGCGCCTGCTGGACCTGGGGGCTCTCCGGTTCTTCTGTCTCGGCGGGAGCCGCTCTCTCCACAGGAGCTGCGCGAGTGGTTTGCTCGCCGCTGGAGGCGTGCTGCTGGAGCTGGAGCTTCTTCGCCTGCTGAGGGTGCTGCCGGTCCCGGAGCTGCTGGGCCTGCGGGTCCTACTGGAGCTGGAGCTACTGAGTCTGGGGGTGCTGAGTCTGGAGCTGCTGAGCCTGGAGGTGCTGAGTCTGGAGCGGCTGTGCCTGGGGGTGCTGAGTCTGGAGCTGCTGAGCCTGAGGTTTCTCCTGCTGCTGCGTCTCGCCGGGAGCCCCTCTCTCCACAGGAGCTGCGTGAGTGGTTTGCTCGCCGCTGGAGGAGTGCTGCTGGAGCTGGAGCTTCGTCGACCGTCGAGGGTGCTGGTGCTGCCGCTCCCGGAGCTGCTGGGCCTGCGGGTCCTACTGGAGCTGGAGCTGCTGAGGGTGTTGGTGCTGAGACTACTGCTGTCTGTCCTGGCGGTGGTTCTGCTGCTGGTGCTGCTGGAAGTCCTGCTGCTGGAGGTGTTGGTGGCGCTGGTGCTGTCGCTGAGGGTGCTGGTGCTGTCCCTGCTGAGTCTGGAGCTGCCGCGCGGCCTCGGCCGTACTTCGTTCCGCTCCTACAGCAGGTTCTTGGTCTTTCTCCTTCGGTAGAGTGTCCACAGCCTGTCCAGTCGCAGTCACTGTTGGAGCCTTCCTCTCCTCTGCCTGCTCCCTCTCCTTACACTGGTCCTACTGGAGGTCTTGCTGAGCGTCGTGAGCCTGCGTCTCGTCCCGCGTCGCCTGTTCGTGCTGCTCGCGCTAGTGGTCGCGGTTCGCGTCAGCGTCCTCCTCCTGTCCCTGGCACGCACCGGATGTCTCTGCGTCCGTCCACTGCTCCTCTGCGTGCCCCTTTGCCTTCTCCTCCTGAGTCCTCTCTTCCTGCCCTTGCCGACCCTGAGTCGGACTCTCTTCGCGCTGCCAGTCCTACTGTCACGCGTCTGCTTGCTACTGTCGTCACTGACCCCTCTTTTGAGTCCACTGCTGCGTCTGCTCTAGTCGCTGAGCTCGTTGACTTTGCTGCTCGCTGTCGTCTCGACTACGCTGCTGGTCTTGTTGCTGAGTCTGCGTCTGTCTGTCCTCCGTCCGTCGGGGGTGAGTGTGCTCTTGGCACGGACGTCCTAGAGGACAGACAAGAGGAGTTACAGTGTCTAGCGGCTGCTTCACCTCATCTCGCGTCTGTTCTGCTTGCCCCTGAGGGAGACCCGGATGCACTAGACATCCCGACTCCGCGTTCTTACGCGGAGGCCGTAGAGGGTCCCTACTCCTCTCAGTGGCAGGCAGCTATGGATGCAGAGATGGCTTCCTGGAAGTCCACAGGCACCTACGTTGACGCGGTTCCCCCTCCTGGGGCGAACATCGTCAGTGGCATGTGGATCTTCAGGGTGAAGCGGCCGCCGGGCTCTCCACCTGTCTTCAAGGCGCGGTACGTTGCTCGTGGCTTCAGTCAGCGGCAGGGAGTTGACTACTTTCAGACCTTCTCTCCCACCCCGAAGATGACCACTCTTCGGGTGCTGCTGCACATAGCCGCTCAGCGCGACTACGAGCTTCACTCTCTTGACTTCAGCACTGCGTTCCTGCAGGGTAGCCTGCACGAGGAGATCTGGCTGCGCCGTCCACCTGGCTTCACTGGGACTTTCCCTCCTGGCACCCAGTGGAGCCTCCGACGGCCAGTCTACGGTCTCCGCCAGGCACCGCGTGAGTGGCACGACACACTGAGGACTACGCTTGCGGCTCTTGGGTTTGCTCCTTCTACTGCTGACCCGTCGCTGTTTCTGCGCACCGACACTTCACTGCCGCCGTTCTACATCCTCGTGTACGTCGACGACTTGGTCTTTGCCACAGCGGACACTGCTGGACTCGCCTACGTGAAGTCCGAACTGCTGAAGAGACACACGTGCACAGACCTGGGTGAACTGCGCAGCTACCTTGGCTTGCAGATCACTCGGGACAGAGCACGCCGCACCATTACCTTGACTCAGTCACACATGGTGCAGCAGGTCCTTCAGCGCTTCGGCTTCACGTACTCCTCGCCTCAGGCCACTCCTCTGCCTACTCGCCACTCACTCTCAGCTCTGCCTTCGGATGAGTCCGTAGAGTCGAGTGGTCCGTATGCAGAGCTTGTTGGCTGCCTCATGTACCTGATGACCTGCACACGACCTGACCTTGCATACCCTCTGAGCATTCTTGCACGCTATGTTGCTCCTGGGAGACACAGACCAGAGCACATGGCTGCAGCGAAGAGGGTATTGCGCTACCTGTGCAGTACGTCGGGCATGGGGCTTGTGCTTGGAGGGCGGAGTCCAGTGGTCCTTACCGGCCACGCGGACGCTTCTTGGGCTGACGACCAGGCTACGCAGCGGTCGTCACAGGGTTACACCTTCAGCCTTGGTTCCGGCTCTGTCTCGTGGCGGTCTACTCGCTCGTCTTCGGTTCTCGGCTCTAGTTGTGAGGCTGAGATCTACGCCGGGGCCATGGCTGCACAGGAGCTTCGCTGGCTCACCTACCTGCTGACTGACCTTGGAGAGCCGCCTCGTTCTCCTCCAGTGCTGTACGTAGACAACAAGGCCATGCTGGCCTTGTGTCGAGAGCAGCGCTTGGAGCACAGAACGAAGCACATTGCTCTCCGCTACTTCCTTGCTCGTGAGCTGCAGCAGCGTGGTCAGTTGCGACTTGCGTACGTGGCCTCTGAGGCCAACACTGCTGATGTGTTCACCAAGGCACTCGCGCCTTGTGATCATCAGCGCTTTTGCACCCAGCTGGGTCTTGTGTCTGTCTTGCCTCACTTGCTCTCCTCTTGACTTTACTTGTACTGTGACATATATATATACCTGCTCTTGCTTGTCTAGTTTTATATATATGTCTGTACTCCTGCATGTGAACTGGCCTCTGGCCCTGCTCTTGTGCTCGGACTGTGTGGTGACTTTGTGATCCACCCTGAGCTTGCTTTGCTTTGCTTGACTGGTCTTGTGACCCCTTGTTCTCCCCCACTTTGCCTATGGGGGTGTGTCAAACATTATATATGTTATGCTTGTGTAGGCTACAGTGGGTTAGCCTATAGGGGGTACACAATTCTAGGGTTTACTACTTGTACTCATTTCACTTCTAGTTCACACATTCCTGTTCGCTTATTCTCACACCACGGCCTTGAGATCGCAGATGGAATCAGGCAGAGCTTCAAGGGACTCCAAAATAAACTATAAGGGTGTATTCATACGACCTCCTATCAAGAAACCTCCTATCAAGAATGTAGTTCTCACCTGTAAATTTGCAAGCTCGCGCAACCTCCTATCAACAAAACTTGACGGTTTCCCCATATGTGCGACCCAAAACAAACGCTGATGTGGCACGCTGCGACCCAGCTTGGTCAGACGCTCCGGTTCACATCAAAAGAGCACCACGTAAGCCCATCCACGCCAAGCCCTCACGCCTATTCGTAGAAGTAGTACAAATACTCGCAACTTACGGCAATCCTGACAATCGTGCCTACAACCCCCAACTATGACGGATGTTCCTTTCCTGCCTAGGTTGTTAATAGTATGGCACGCCTTTTATTACGACACATTTCTGCACAGTGCGCTCAAGTGGTGCATGAAGTTTCTCGAGCAGATAAGCAATGCGGAAGAAGATACCATGATAGAGACGAGGAGTGAATTGCGTGCTTGAAACCGAAGCTTACGGCGGCGCCGATTAGGCGTGTGGGAGGACGAAATGGCGACCATGCCCGAGGAGGTGTTCATCGACCTCTTCCGCATTAATCGCGCTATTCTGGAATACGTATACCAAGGAATGGCTCACGTGCTCAGCCCCGTCATCCAGCGCCATCGCATCCCAATTACAGTGGCCGTCCTCATACCAATCAAGTATTTCGCTAGCGCGATGGCGTACGTGGACCTGGCTTTCTGGTTCGGTGTGCCAAAAACCCTATGCCATCGCCTCGTAGACCTCCTCCTCTTAAACTTTCCCAACGTGTTCAAGGCGGCCTGGGTACGTTTTCCGACACAGGATGAAATGCGCGACATGGCGGAAGAGTTTCGGAGTATAAAAGGGGCACCAATGGTTGTAGGTGCTATTGACGGCACACATGTTCAGATTCGGGGGATGGAGGGGCATCGGGCGGAATATTACACGTGGAAATCACAATATGCCGTGCAGCTACAAGTGACATGCGACGCTAAAGGAACCATCTGGGATTACCTAATAGGCTATCCAGGCAACCGCGCATGACCAGCGGGTGTTCGTCCTGTCTAGCCTCTACGAGCGACTACAAAGAGGTGACCTCGCACCGTACCAGCTGGTAGGAGACACCGCCTACCCGCTCCGTAGCTACTGCTTGACGCCATTGCATGCTCCCACCGGCCGCCTCATGCTCAAGTGGGAGCAAACCTTCAATTACCGCCAGTCCGCGACTCGTATGCCCGTCGAGCGAACCATTGGTGCGCTGAAAGGACGGTACCGCCTATTTGCCGGCCGCCACGAGTGTGCGTTATGGCGGGTCCTTGCCGGCGCCAGCTGTGTTGTCATACTGCACAACATGGGGATCAAGATGGCAACTTCCAGGATGAGAACAATCAATCACACGTGGGCCGCGCGGCTGATCAACCAAGACCCATGGTGGACGAGAGGAGAACTTGCACGGTATAATTGGTGCGCCGATCTAGCCGTCACTAGACACGATCTCAAGGAGAGGAGGAAGAGGCTCGGGGAGGCGCTGCATATGGAATACCTTAAGCGACGTCGGAGCGGCGATGCCACACCTCCACGTCGTCAGTGACTTCATCACCGGCGTCGGTATTGTCGCCGGTCGGCCCTGATTCGTCCGCGGGGTTGCTTCCGACGTTGAGCGGACGGCTTGTTGTTGACTGTTGGGAGGCCATCGACTCGCGTATCACTCTGGTGATTTGTGTTACGCCTTCCTGGGAGCACTTGGTGAATGTGTCGGCCAACAGTTGAGCGGCTGCCATGGTCGCCGTCTCATTAATACAGCGTCGTGCACTGGGCAGGGTGTTACGAGCTAGGGATAAGAGCGGGAAGGGTTACGGGATTGAGGTGTAATGGCAGAACAATCAGTCATTCTTTTGCTGTGCAAGCGAAATTACATAGTATTCCGAATTTTAACACGCTCGGATTTTCGACTTGCTATAAACTGGGCTCGCATTCAACACACATACTAGGCGTTGTTGTGGCAGCAGTAGTTTCCGGCTTGGGAATCTTGACGCACGGGTCCACTGTCACATTATCTGCACCGCCACCATCCAGAGCGTGAGGCTCGGCCGCAGCAGTGTCTTCGTAGAACAGCACCATCCACTGCCACCACGGAGGCTTTATCACCGTTCCGCCTCCAGATGCCGAATCCCCGATCTCGATCTGCTTCCACAGCGCTTTAAGTCGCTTCCACTGATTGGTGCAGGCGGTGACATTCCTGCACCAATCAGGATGCTTCTTCTTAATGTGTTCGATGAGGCGTAACCAATACTGCGACCCCTGTTTTCCCGTCATTTGGTTGAGCTCCTCCTTGGTGAACCATCGCGCGGCGCACAATATGGTTGACTCTTTGGCCGTCTAGTCCGATTTCGGGCCTGTGCCCAAACAGTCGGCATTCTTCGCGCCAGCCTGGTGACTGTCAGTAGATCTGCACTGTGGATGCCCGATTGATCCTGGAGAGGGTTACAGGCACGTTCGCCTGGGGGGTTATGGGCGCACTGACCCGCTACTGAAACAAGCCCTTTTATCCCAATGGTCTAATGGTTGGGATTCTGACATGGTATCAGAGCGGTCTCGGGTTCGATTCCCAGTGTATGCACATGCAGGCCGTTGCCGCTCTGCTTAATCCTGGGCCTCCCAGTGTGGGGGGGTGTCAGTAGATCTGCACTGTGGATGCCCGATTGATCCTGGAGAGGGTTACAGGCGCGTTCGCCCGGGGGGTTATGGGCGCACTGACCCGCTACTGAAACAAGCCCTTTTATCCCAATGGTCTAGTGGTTGGGATTCTGACAGTGACTGCCCTTTCCCTTCCCGCGAGCCTCGACGCGGCTACTAGAGCCTCGTTTCTCTACTGCCGCGGCCGGCGCCACGGGGCAAGCATCACGCGGGCCACCATATTCCGCGTCGCCGCACCACGCCTCGTCGGGTTCTTCGAACTTGAAATCCTCGTCGTCGTCGCCATCCGCAAGTCTCCTTGTCCGTGTCGTCCTCGTCAGTGTCATAGTCGACGTGCA